CAGCCATTAGCCACTCATGCAGGCTAGCCAGGCACCCCAGTAGGACCCTCCTCCCTGAAGGGGGTGTCCAGCCTGAAAACGGCCCTCAGCCCCTCACCCAGGCTGGCCAGGCACCCCAGCAGGAACCCCACCCTGATGCGGGACACCCTTCAGGGCAAACCAGCCGGCCCCCACCCATGCACCAGGCCTCTATCCTATATAATAAAAGGGTAATATGCAAATTGACCCTAACAGCAGAAGGACCACCCTCTCTTCTCTTATGATGTGAATATTGGTATGCTTGATGACCTGACCCCCTTAAACTGTCCTCATTTGGGGGGATTCTTTTTTTTTCTGTTCTGATTGGGTGTTTTCTGCTACCTGGTCTTCCAAATTGCTGATATGATCCTTTGCTTCATCTAATCTACTGTTTATTCCCACTAATAATATATTCTTAATTTCAGTTATTATATTCTTCATTCCTAAATTTTTAAATGTTTTCTCTGTCCATTTTTTAAAAATATTATTTATTTATTTTGAGAGAGAGAGAAACATGGATTTGTTGTTGCATTTATTTATGCATTCATTAATTGATTCTTGTATGTGCTCTCCAGTCTATCTCCATTTTTATAAGTACCGCGCGCTAACCAATTGAGCCACTGGAGCTCCGCAGTCTATCTCCATTTTTATGTTTCCTATCTGTTTGTTGATGTTCTCACTGAGATCATCTAGTCTTCCCTAAGTTCATTGCACATCCTTATAACCATTGTTTTGGACTCTCCATCTGGTAGATTGCTTGTTTCCATTTTGTTTAGTTCTTTTTCTGAAGTTTTGTTTTGTTCTTTCATTTGGGGACATGTTTCTTTGTCTCCTCATTTTGGCTGCCTCCCTGTATTTGTTTCTGTGTATTAGGTAGAGGTGCCATGTCTTCTGGCATTGGTAGATTGGCCTAATATAGTAGACTAGAGGCCCAGTGCACAAAATTCATGCAGAGGTAGGGTCCCTAGGCCTGGCCAGCAATCAGGGCTCATCTGTGGGGTGACCGGTGGAGCGATCCGAGGGGCCCCCACTGGCACCCACCTTGTCTTGCCTGAGGTCTTCGGGCTGGGGGCAGCTCCTGTGTTGAGCGTCTGCTCCCTGGTGGTTAGTGCATGTCATAGCTACCGGTCATTCCGCCATTCAGTCGATTTGCATATTAGGCTTGTATTATATAGGACTAGAGGCTGGGTGCACAAAATTTGTGCACTGGTGGAGAGGTGTTCCTTAGCCCAGCCTGCACCGTCTCCAATCTGGGACCCCTTGGGGGATGTCTGACTGCCGGTGTAAGCCTGGTCACCAGCAGTCGGACATCCCTCTCACAATCTGGGACTGCTGGCTCCCAATCACTCGCCTGCCTGCCTGCCTGATTGCCCCTAACCACTCCCCTGCTGGCCCAATTACCCGCAACTGCCCTCCCCTGCCGGCCCAGTCGCCCCTAACTACCCTCCCCTGCCAGCCCGGTCGCCCCTAACTGCCCTCCCCTGCAGGCCTGGTTGCCCCCAACTGCCCTCCCCTGCAGGCCTGGTTGCCCCCAACTGCCCTCCCCTGCAGGCCTGGTCCCCCCCAACTGCCCTCCCCTGCAGGCCTGGTTGCCCCTAACTGCCCTTCCCTGCTGGCCTGATTGCCCACAACTGCCCTCCCCTGCTGGCCTGATCGCCCACAACTGCCCTCCCCTGCTGGCCATCTTGTGGTGGCCATCTTGTGAGCACATGGGGGTGGCCATCTTGTACAAGGGCATGATGTACAATTTGCATATTACCTCTTTATTATATAGGATGTCCTGTGAGGCCCAGTGGGTGTTCCAGGTGTGTCCCTTATATGGGTTGTGTGTACCCTTCTGTTGTACTTGAGCTTTGATTGCTTTTGGTAAGTCAGTGGGAGGGATTAACCATCAGGTGGATTGGCTGTGAGGAATGGCCATAATTATAGTGTAGGTGCTATTTGGCGGCTGACCCTAAGGAGCAGGACTCACATAGGGTCATTCTCACATAGGGGCATTCTTGTGTCTGCTAAGTCTGCCCTTTGGGTGTGTCATTGATGAAAAGCCCTTGGAAGTGGCTTGAGTGGGTGTTCCGGGGCATGTGCTCCCTTTTCTGCAACCCGCAAGGGAAAGAGAGCTTGAACTGGTTCCTTCAAATGGAGGTGTATTGGGGATTGAGAAAATGAAAGACAGACACAAAATAGAAAGTACAGCTGGGCCTGGGTGTGCTTCTGTCCTTTTCTGGCAGAGAGGTAGAAAGACCAAGTCGCAAAGCAGCATGTTTATTTTATAGTCCCAATTCCCCAAAATATCTGGAGGTTTCACCAAAACTCAAGATAAGAGAGGTATTCCAGGTACTTGACTGAATTTACATAATAAAAACCCATTCCAGCACCTGGGCTTTGAAGAGTCCAGCTGAAGGCATTCTCACCTTTTGGCCAGAAATGTCCCCAAGGTAGGGCTATGTCCAAGCCTTGGGTTCAGTCAACATAACTTAAAGAAAGCCATGGCACCTTCCCTGGCAGGGGGCCTCCCACAGGTGGGCCTGCAAATTGGGTGGGACAGAATCTCAGGGGATCACCAGGGCAGAGCCAACCTTGTTAGCTGATTGATGGAGACTCAGACTTGGCATCTGCCTATGCCTGCAGGCTGGATGGGGGAAGGCTCAGGGAAGGAACAATGGCTTCTTACAGCACTTCTGTCTAGGATAAAGCTTCCCTTCCAAGCCCTCGCCTTTAAGCCAGATAGTTCAGTGCCTCTCTGTTAGTCCCTGGTGCTTTTCTAGCTGCTGCCCCAGTGCTGGAACTCGGAGTCCATCAGCAAGTAAATTAATGTGCAGGCCCTTTAAGAGGACCCCCTGGGACTCCAGCAGCCCTCAGTCTCACTTGGACAAGTCTCCTCAGCCACAATCCCTGCTGGTTTTCACAACCAGAAATTGTGGGGACTTTTCTTCCCAGCACTTCTCTTCCTGTGCCAGGGAGGCTTGTGTGGGGCGGGACTCCGCCCTCCTGCTCCTCCAATCCATTCAGTGTCTTGTCTTCACTTCTATCAATCTTACAGCTTCTTTTGTATATCCTTAATTATAAGACTTCTGTTTAGCTAGACTTCAGAAGGTTATCAATGATCATTGTTTTATAGTTTAGTTGTAATTTTGTTGTGGTCGTGGGATGAGACTAATATAATTATTGCATTTAGTGCTTAAAGAGGGTTTATTTCCAGGAATCTCAATGTCTCTGTTCTAATTTCTGGTTTGATTTTTTACGATTTGCTTTTATTTTTCTGGCTTTACTATATAGACTAACCCCATTCTTTTTAAAATTAGGTTACTTTTCATTGTTATTTGAATTGGAAAGAAGTAAACATTAAATAATAATTACCACCTGTATTAGTCTTTTCTGGCAATAGAATTATCGCCTATTGAAGTTTTTCTCTTAATGTTGCCAACCATTCTGATTTATGCTTGTCTACACATACTACACACATATATACGAATGTGCATCCATAAACACCCCCAACTAAAGAATAAATAGGGGAAATGGTGTTTTGAGTTGTTATTACTGAGCTTATTTTTTGTTTGTTTGTTTGTTTGTTTGTTTGTTTTTTGTTAATCCTCACCCAAGGATATTTTTTCATTGATTTTTAGAGAGAGTGGAAGGGAGGGGGCGAGAGACAGAGAGAAACATCAATGTGAGAGAGACAACGATTGGTTGCCTCCCGCATGTGCTCTGTCTGACCAGGGCCAGGGATTGAGCTTGCAACTGAGGAACATGCCCTTGACTGGAATCGAACCTAGAATCCTTCATTCCACAGGCTGACAGCTTATTTTTAAACTCTAAGTTATTATTGTTAATGAACCAAGTATAGACATTAACATTTTCATTTTATGGTAAATGATAACCCCACAATTATAGTAACTTCCTTTGGAATTTTCATGTACAAAATATGCTTTATTGATTTTAGAGAGGAAGGTAGAGGGAGAGAGAGAGAGAAAGAGAAACATCTATGTGAAAGAGGATCATTGATTGGCTGCCTCCTACACGCCCCCAACTGGGGGATCGAGCCTGCAACCTGGGCATGTGCCACGACCAGGAATCGAAACAGCAACCTTTCGGTACACAGGACGATGCTCAACCAACTGAGCCACAGCGGCCAGTGTTTCCTGTGGAAATTTTTAAAACAAGACTTATTTTTTTTTTAAACATATTTTATTGATATTTTACAGAGAGGAAGGGAGAGAGATAGAGAGTTAGAAACATCGATGAGAGAGAAACATCAATCAGCTGCCTCCTGCACATCTCTCACTGGGGATATGCCCGCAACCCAGGTACATGCCCTTGACCGGAATCGAACCTAGGACCTTTCAGTCCACAGGCCGACGCTCTATCCACTGAGCCAAACCGGTTTCGGCAAAACAAGACTTATTAATTGGACCAGAGTATAGTTAGCATAGAATGAAGGTAAGGACCAAATGTGTTTTCTTCTCAATATGTACCTGGCACCTAGCACAGTGGCTGACAATGGAACATTTAATATTTGTTGAGTGAATGGCCAATATGGTAGATGTGATACTGTCTTCTGTACAAGGCATCTTTATAGAGCAGAAGTGATTCATTCCTTATATGACCTTTCTACTTTTGTTATATATGGATTGTGATAGTCACAGATGCTATATCAAATTTGCATTCACGTCTTGTACCTGAAATGAGATATAGGCTGACTACTGAAATTATGGTTCAATTACCTGTGAGTACTTTAGCCAATATTTTTCTGTCATTTCCCATATAAAAAATAAGTAATATTTGTATAGTGCACTGGAGTAAACTGAGGCAGTAAACTGCTTCTGCAAAAAGGGCCATCCAGAAGTCCAAGGCAGTAACTGTTCACATGCAGCTGTAAACCATTCATAGCATACTGGTAGAAAGCTATGGTTTTTAGACCTTATTGTCTGTAGAAGTATAATGCTTTAAAATCTATTGTTTTTGTTGCCCTTTCCTGTTTGTAGTGTTGAAATTGGCGAAAGTGTCCGTGGAGAGGATGTCTACATCGTTCAGAGTGGCTGTGGTGAAATTAATGACAATCTAATGGAGCTTTTGATCATGATTAATGCCTGTAAGATTGCTTCAGCCAGCCGGGTTACTGCAGTCATCCCATGCTTCCCTTATGCCCGGCAGGATAAGAAGGATAAGGTAGGAGCAGAATCTCCTTTATAAACATTTTAAAAAAATGTTTATAAAAGGAGACTTATGTAAGATTTTAAACAATAAAGACTTTAAATTTAAAAAAAATGTTTTTAATCAGGGGAATCATGAGCACTTTCCCAAAGTCACAAAAATAGTCCTTAATCATCAGATATATATCTTTTTATTTATTTATTTATTTTTAATTTTTTTTTTAAGGGGAAACAAAGTTTATTGAGAAATAGATGGACTCTGCAGCAGGGAGGGGGTCCAAAGTGGGTTGCCCATCAGATATATATTTAGAGGGGTTATTTATTTATTTATTCTCTAAAGTTTTACATATGTCTCCTTTTTCCCCACTTGACCCCCCTGCCCCAGCCATTCCCACCCCGGGCAAGCTCCCAGCACCCCAGTGCCTGTGTCCATTGGTTATGCTAATATGCATGCATACAAGTCCTTTGGTTGCTCTCTAACCCCCTCCCCTACCATTTGTCTCTGGATCTATTCCTGTTCATCAAATTATGTTGATCATTATATCCCTATTTAGAGAGGATTTTTAAAATCACATTCTTTTAGGCGTTACCTTTTCTTTAAAACAATTGACATGTGATTGGTTTGTATAAAGCAACACATTTGTAGACTGTATATTTTGTTCTAGTCATCATTTGTGACTTTCAGTTAGCTCACTGCTATTATTTAATTATATCAGTAAGACTAAGCACCAGCTCCCATGGAGTAGAATATTTTTTAAACTATTGTAGATCCCCTGGGACCCTAGTAAGGTTATAGTTGTGACCTTTTCATAAAACTTGAAGTCTGTTACATGGATACTTGATCTCATTACACACACACACACACACACACACACACACACACACACACCCCTAGCCTTATCTGGTATATTAAAGGACAAGGTATATACATAAAACTTTGCAGGTCTATTTTGTCTGTTGTAATCAATGCCCAAAATTTACATACAGTGCATTGGAGAAGGCCATATATGCACCACTATATCCATAGCAGCATTACTTACAATAGCTAAGTTCTGGAAACAGCCCAGGTGCCCATCAGTAGATAAGTGGATAAAAACAAACAAACACTGGTACATATGCATCTGTAAAAAAGAAGGATCTGTTACCTTTTGAAACAACAGGGATGCACCTGGAAATTATTATACTAAGTGAAATAAGCCAGTCAGAGACAAATATCACATCATCTCACTTATATGAGGAATCTAATGAACAAAATAAACTGATGAACAAATAGGCCCAGAGACATGAAAGCATGGAACACACTGACAGACCTCAGAGGGAATGGGGGGAGGGGGGAGAGATTAACCAAAAAACTTATATGCATACATGCATAGCCCATGGACATAGACAATAGTGCAATAAAGACTTAGCGTAGGGTGGGAACTGGGCAGAGGGGGACAAATGGGAGGGAATGGGGACATCTGTAATACCCTTAACAATGAAAATAAATTTAAAAAAATGGCAGAGAAACTGAAAAAAAAAAAAAAAGGCCAGGTGTTTTAATTCCAATAAAGTATAGTGCTCCTCCAGAGTACAGAGTAAAGGGCATGGTCTTGGCCATTTTATAGTGCAGCAGGTGTGTTTGCCTATTATTTAAGGGTTTGCGATTGCTAGAAGGTTGACCTTCAGATCAGTAAGGGCGTGGTGTAATTTACAAAATAAACTGTAGGATTGCATGTTGGATGTTATACAGGTTTGAGTATGTATGTGTTAAATGATTTTAATAAAATATTTTGAAAAAGATTGTCTAATTTAAATTGAGCATTGGAAACGCTTGAATACTAATAGCTAAAAATCTGTACATTAAGTTAAGAAAATGAAAGGTAGGAAGGCATTTTCTTTCATTTAATATGTATCCTGAGTTAGCAAAGTTACATTCCATTTAATTGTGCTAGATTGTGATGTACTTAAAAGTCAGTAACCGTGTCACTTCCTTTGAATTTCCTGATAGCAAGAGCCTTAAACATAGTAGGTACATAATAAATAAATGCTTCTTGTGCAAATGAATTATTTCTCAAATTGGCTCTTTGTTGTTTTTTTTCTTTTGTCCCCTCCATTTAGAGCCGGGCTCCAATCTCAGCCAAGCTTGTTGCAAATATGCTTTCCGTAGCAGGTGCAGATCATATTATTACCATGGACCTTCATGCTTCTCAAATTCAGGTATCAAAGGAAGCTAAATATTACCTTAGAGCAGCGGTTCTCAACCTGGGGGTCGCGACCCCTTTGGCGGTCGAACGACCCTTTCACAGGGGTCGCCCAATACCATCCTGCATATCAGTTATTTACATTACGATTCATAACAGTAGCAACATTACAGTTATGAAGTATCAACGAAAATAATTTTATGGTTGGGTCACAACATGAGGAACTGTATTTAAAGGAACAGAAGGTTGAGAACCACTGCCTTAGAGGTAAGAAGGGGAAAGAGGACTGATAATGCTGAAGATTGCAGAGAAGCATAACGCTGCCCATGTACAGCTCAAATAAACTAGACATTGACAACATTTTAAGCATCCTCACATTGACCTTAGATCATGGATTTAGTCATTTGGGGTGGTTGAAAAGGGAGGCAGTCATGTATTCTTGAAAGAGTGTAGGCTTAGAGATCAGACCTATTTGGAAATACTGGCTCTAACACCTATGAGCTTTGTAACACTGGGCAGGTTATTTAATTTCTCTGAATGAATATACACTGCTTTGTTATTGTATTAAATAACATATTAAATAAATTCATAAGATAATGCCTGGTTTCTGACAGGAGCCAAATAAATGGAAGTTGTTATTGTCATCATTAAATTTATTTTTTATTTATTGATTTTAGAGAGAAACATCGATTTGTTGTTCTACTTATTTTTGCACTTATTGGTTGATTCTTGTATGTGCCCTGACTGGGGATTGAACACACAACCTTGGTGTACTGGGACAATGTTCTAACCAACTGAGCCACCTCATCAAACAGAGCCCTGGCCGGTGTGGCTCAGTTAGTTAAGCATCATTCCTTGCACCAAAAGGACACTGGTTTGATTCCCAGAGCATATGCAGGAGGCGTGTAGGAGGAAGCCAATTGATATTTCTCTCTCTTATTGATGTTTCTCTCTCCCTTCCTCTCTCTAAAATCAATAAAAAACATTAAACATTTTTTTAGAGCCACAGATATTGGAACCTACTTTCTAGCATAAATCCAGAGTAAGAGGAGCAGAACACTACCTTATGTATATACTTTTTATACTTTTTAAAGATACTTTCAAATCATTGTCATTAGAGGCTTATGGCAATCTAGTGAGGTACATAGGACAGGTGAATATACCCATTTTATAGAAGAGGGACAAATTAGTTGAGAAACACAAATAATCTGTAGCAACTAATATTAGAACACAGATCTGGCTTCTAGTTACTCTCTCTGACAATCTATATATATAAATGCCTAAGCGACCATCTGACCGTTTGACTGGTAGCTATGACGCGCAATGACCACTAGGGGAAGACAATCAACGCACAAGCATAGAAATGTGGAACAGACTGATGAATCTCAGGGGATGGGGGAGGAGAGAGGGCGGGAAGAGATTAACCAAAGATCTTAGATGCATACTAGAGGCCCGTGCACCAGTGGGGTTCCTCAGCCTGGCCTGCAGGGATCAGGCCGAAACTGGCCTGGTGTACAGCTCTATGCACCAATGGGGTCCCTTGGCCTGGCCTGCGGGGATTGGGCTGAAATTGGCAGTCCAACATCCCCAGAGAGGTCCCGGATTGTGAGAGGACGCAGGCCAGGCCGAGGGACCCCACTGGTGCACTAATCTGTGTTCCGGGCCTCTAGTTTATGATAAATACCTTCTACTAAGTTTATATACTACTAGAGGCCCGGTGCACAAGATTCATTCACTGGGGCGGGGGGGAGGCGGTCCTTCAGCCCAGCCTGTGCCCTCTCCCAGTCTGGGAGCCCTTGGGGGATGTCCGCCTGCAGTCAGACATCCCTCTTGCAGTCCAGGGCTCTTGCCGTCCGGGACCCCTCGCTCCTTACCACCCACCTGCAGTGGAGGCGGGAGAGGCTCCTGCCACTGCCACTGTGCTCTCCAGCTGTGAGTCCAGCTTCTGGCTGAGTGGTGATCCCCCTGTGGGAGCGCACTGACCACCAGGGGGCAGCTCCTGCATTGAGCATCTGCCCCCTGTTGGTCAGTGCACATCATAGAGACCAGTCGTTATGCCATTCGGTCAGTTTGCATATTACGCTTTTATTATATGGGATAGCATCTCTAAATGGTTTACCAGTTAGCTTTTGCTCCTTAGCATAAAGCAGTATAAATTTTTATTATCTCATGAGTATGCACATTGGCTGGATAGTTGTGGTCCCAGCTGAACTTGGCTATTTTTCTCAACAGTTCGCTCCTGCCTATGGTCAGTTGTGGGTTAGCTGAGGGTTGACTTTGCCCATTATGGCTGGGTTCTTTTGCACAGCCTGGATTCAAAGGGACTGTTTTTACAGTCTCTCACATTGGGCATACCTTCTAATCAGTCTGAATGTTGCAGTAAGGTATTCTTTGGGCAAGTCACTATTCTCTGTTAGTTGTTTGTGAATAAAAGAGAAGGATATACCTTAGACTCACACAATGTTACATGCCAAATTTATTCAAATAAAATAAATACATAAATGGAAGAGAAGGAAAATGAAGCAAAACTAACCCAGCTCCTTCCTGCAGGGCTTTTTTGATATCCCTGTGGACAATTTGTATGCAGAACCAGCTGTCCTGAAGTGGATAAGGGAGAATATATCTGAGTGGAGGAACTGCACTATTGTCTCACCTGATGCCGGGGGAGCTAAGAGGTATGGTTGAAATTTATATTATTCTCAATGTATTGGGAAAATCTTTCAGATAGTTGTCAGAAAGTGATGTTTTTCTATCCAAGTGGAAGTTTTTAAGTACTTCAGAATGGATGTACTGATAGCTGGGACATAGGTTGGATATAGTTTTATTCCTCTCCCTGGCCTGAAAGTCACTATCTGAAAGATAAGGCAGCAATAGAGGGGCTCTAAATCTGGTATTGTGGCCATTACCCATTAATAACTTTGCAGTCAGGGCTAGCAACACTGCTAGATGCCTATCAGAAAGGGGAGAAAATTTGGTTTTCTAATGAGTGGCACCTGCTGTTAAACCACATGCTAATAATGGGCTAGGAAGCTTTTACGTACGTACTTCTAAATGCTGTTGTTGGTTAGACCATTTTGATCCTTTGGATTAAGTATTAAGCAGGAAGGAAAATAAAGTGTGGTAATTTTGTTTAAACCCAAGACCTTAACATTTTAAACAAACTGCCAGGAATTGCCAGTTGCAGAGCTTTACAGCTCACATGGTGCCGACTAAGAGCTTTTGATTTCCTTAGTGGGTCACTCATTAGTAATGCATTCAAAAGTGTGACACATGCTTTTCTTGTTGTGGAAATAGAATGAAGAGCTACAAAACACAGATGATTAGGAAAAGCTAATTCAGATCTAAGAGCCATACAAATCTTCAGTGACTGTTTCTTTGCAAGCTCTTTCTTTCAATAACTTCAACAGCACTGATAAGCTGAGAACTTGAGTTCTGTTATTCAGCCAGATGTATGGCTTTGTCAGGCTTATGTAATTGTCAGTTATCATCTGTAATATTAGAGACAGAACCTAAAAAACATCCCCCTAATAGTAGTTGTCATACTTGTCTTAACTTGTGCATTATTTTCACATCTTGCCATGGGACTTAGAAAATAGTCCCATTTGAAATAATCAAGCAGGAATTTCTTTCCAAAGTGGGTTACAGAAAAACTGCCTTTAATAGATGACTTGTTGCTACATGGTTTGGAGTGGTTATAATTTTCTTTCTTTTTTTTAAGGATAATTTTTAAAAAAATGTTTTTATTGATATCAGAGAAGGAGAGAGAGGGACATTAATGATGAGAGAGAATCATCGATTGGCTGCCTCCTCCATGCCCCACATCGGAGATCGAGCCCACAACCCAGGCATGTGCCTTGACCGGTAATCTAACTGTGACCTGGTTCATAGGTCAATGCTCAACAACTGAGCTACACTGTCCAGGCTATAATTTTCTTCTAGTGATGAATTATATTCAAAGTGAGTCTCTATCACTTCTGTGTTGGCTAGATTTTTGTAGGAGAGAGAGATCCCTGTGTATTTATGACTTGTTCATAGTTCTCCCCTCAAGGGCATAGGGAGTGACTTTTTCTAGCCCTTTATGCTTTATTCTTTTTTTTTTATATATATATATTTTTTATTGATTAAGATATTACATATGTGTCCTTGTCCCCACGTTACCCTCTACCCCCCCCCCCGCTCATGCCCTCACCTCCCCGTTGTCCATGTCCATTGATTAGGCCTATATGCTTGCATATAAGTCCTTTGGTTGATCTTTCCCCCTTACCCCCACCCTCCCCTACCTTCCCTCCAAGTCCCGACAGTCCAATCAATGCCTCTCCGTCTCTGGATCAGTCCTTGTTCATCAGCTTATGTTGTTCATTATATTCCACAAATGAGTGAGATCATGTGGTATTTATCCGCTCTCCAGTTCCATCCATGCTGTGGCAAATGGTAAGAGTTTCTTTTTCTTCTTCCTCTTCTTAAAGAATACCATTCAGCATTTCATATAATGCTGGTTTGGTGGTGATGAACTCCTTTAGCTTTTTCTTATCCGTGAAGCTCTTTATCTGACCTTCTATTCTGAATGATAGCTTTGCTGGATAAAGTAATCTTGGTTGCAGGTTCTTGCTATTCATCACTTTGAATATTTCTTGCCAGTCTCTTCTGGCCTGCATGGTTTCTGTTGAGAAATCAGCTGACAGTCGTATGGGTACTCCCTTGTAGGTAACTGACTGTCTTTCTCTTGCTGCTTTTAAGATTCTCTCTTTATCTTTTGCTCTTGGCATTTTAATTATGATGTGTCTTGGTGTGGTCCTCCTTGGATTCCTTTTGTTTGGGGTTCTCTGCGCTTCCTGGACTTGTAAGTCCATTTCTTTCACCAGGTAGGGGAAGTTTTCTGTCATTATTTCTTCAAAAAGGTTTTCAATATCTTGCCCTCTCTCTCCTTCTGGTACCCCTATAATTCTGATGTTGGTACGCTTGAAGTTGTCCCAGAGGTTCCTTACACTATCATCTTATTTTTGGAATCTCTTTTCTTTTTTCTTTTTCGGTTGGGTATTTTTTGTTTCTTTGTATTTCAAATCTTTGACTTGATTCTTGGGATCCTCTTGTCTGCTGCTGGATCTCTGTAAATTATTCTTTATTTCAGTCAGTGTATGCTTAATTTCTACTTGGTCCTTTTTCATGTCCTCCATGGTCTCACTATACTTATTGAGGGATTCATTAAATTTATCGGCGGTTTCCATAAAATTCTTGAAAAACCTTATAAACGTGGCCTTGAACTCTATATCCAATCGTTTGCTTTCCTCCATTTCTGCCCTTTGTGACCTGTTTCTTTGTCTCCGCATTTTGGCAGCTTCCCTGTGTTGATAGAGTGGTCCTGTGCGCCAGGTGTCCTGTAGGGCCCAGTAGCTCAGCCTCCCCAGTTACCTGGGGTGGACACTCTTGGTGCACTCTTGGTGCCTTGGTTGTTGTAGAATCACTGGGAGGAATTGACCTCCAGGCCAATTGGCTGTGAGAATCAGCTGTGTCTAAAGTGGGAGAACTTCTGTGCTGAAGACACCCTTCTGGGGCAAGACTTGCTTCAGTGGGGCTTTGGTGCTCACTGAGTCTGCTCCCTGAGTGTGTCCCTTATGGATCTGAGGAGTTGCAGTCTGGATGGACCCCCTCTGACCAGTGGGCACAGTGGCTCCTGGATCTAAGGAGGTGCTAATTCAGCCTCTGCCTGAGGCCACACAGCAGGAGCCACGAAGAGGCTCAGCTGTGAAGCAATGCAAGCCGCTGTGGGGCCTTGGGCCTTCTCTTGGAAGTTCCGGGTCTGCCTGGTTCGGCTGCAGTTAGGTACATTCACATGCAAAAGCCTCTGCTGCAGCCTGGGTGGGGCGGGGTCTCAGGGAGTCAAAGGGCGGAGAAAGCAGCTATGGCCGATTCTCCGCCCGGAGTCGCGCGTCTCAGTGTCCCGGTAACGGCTGCAAGCACCTCTGAGGGAAAGCCGCCCTCAAGTTCGCTCGCTGCCGGACAGACCAGCCTCTCCCCGTATGAGTCCTGGGTCCCCAGAGACTTCCCGGAACCGGAGTTCAGAGCAGTCAGGAGCTTGTGACTCAAAAAGACAGCCGCGTCCTCAGGTGCTACCCCCTTTCCTCGCGCGCGCGAGCCGCCATACCTCTGCACTTCACCTCCGCAGCGCCTCTGGCTCTCAGCGTGCTTTTCTTTCCTTCTAGTTGTAGAATTTACACTCAGCCAGCCTTCCTGTTGTTCTGGATGATGTTTGCTCAGTCCTTTGCGGTAATTTTCAATTGTTGTGTGAGGCGACAATTTCCCAGTGTTTACCTATGCCGCCATCTTAGTTGCTCCCCTTTATGCTTTATTAATCACTGAGTTTTTTGCCTTTTTTTATGAACAATTTGGGATACTTGAACTAATTGATCATGCATTTGCCTTGGATCAGTAATCATTCCAAGCAGATTGGTTAGTCATTTTTTAAAATATATTTTTATTGATTTCAGAGAGGAAGGGAGAGGGAAAGTTAGAAACATCAATGACAAGTGAGAACCATTGATTGGCTGCCTCCTGCATGCTCCACACTGGGGATTGAGCCTGCAACTTGGGCATGTGCCCTGACTGGGAATTGAACCATGACTTCCTGGCTCATAGGTCAGTGCTCAACCACCAAGCCATGCCAGCCAGGCCAGATTGGTTAGTCTTGAAGTTATGTGCCCACGAAGTAGTAGTAAAATGAACACAGAGTGTGGTTCATTTAGGTCAGCATACAAGTGTTGCCTAGCTTGTCATTTAAACTTTGTGTGTTCTCTATTATATGGTTACAGGTTCTTCCATATCTAGCACAGACTTAGACATGTGACCATCATCACCAGGGAAACAAAACATAATGATCTGGTTGGACTAGTATATTAAAAAAAAAAAAAAGCACAGACCTCATCACACATGATAAAAGGATGGCACAGTAGAGCATGGATTACATGCCACTGGGGCAGCACACTGTCATATACACTGAATGGATTTCTGTTTGTGTGAATGATATGGTATTTTGTCACCAGCTTTGTCTTCCATCCCACTTTTTAGTCTGTTTCATATTATCTTGTAATTTTTATTTTATTTTTTACTATATTTTTATTGATTTCAGAGAGGAAGGGAGAGGGAGAGAGATAAACATCAGTGATGAGAGAGAATCATCAATCAGCTACCTCCTGCAGGCCCCCACTGGGGATTGAGCCCGTAACATGGGCATGTGCCCTTGACTGGAATCAAACCCAGGACCCTTCAGTGCATAGGCCGACATTCTATCTACTGAGCCAAACTGGCTAGGGCAGGTGTGGGCAAACTTTTTGACTCGAGGGCCACAATGGGTTCTTAAACTGGACCGGAGGGACGGAACAAAAGCATGGATGGAGTGTTTGTGTGAACTAATATAAATTCAAAGTGAATATCATTACATAAAAGGGTACGGTCTTTTTTTTTCTTAGTTTTATTCATTTCAAACGGGCCGGATCCAGCCCGCGGGCCGTAGTTTGCCCACGGCTGGGCTAGGGTGTATTATCTTGTAATTTTTTTTAAAAAATCCTATTTTTTTATTTATTGATTAAGGTATTACATATGTGTTCTTCTCCCACCCTGCACCCTCACCCCCACTCATGCCCTCACCCCCCTGGTGTCTGTATCCATTGGTTAGGCTTATATGCATGTATACAAGTCCTTTGATTGATCTCTCCCCCTTACTCCTACCCTCCCCTACCTTCCCTCTGAGGTTTGAGCATCTGATCGATTTTGATTTGGAGATACTTTGGCTATACATTGAGATGTCCAGTTTGCCTGGTTAATTAATATATGACTTACTTTCTAGCAGTCATTAAAGAGCTCCCAAGCTTGATATCCAGGTATAGTTGACATTGAAAATCTGTGGATCACTGAAGGGAGTGTGATTAGGGGGTGGGCACTGGAACAGGCCGAGTACTGCTATTCTCCAGCCAGGTTCAGGTTCACTTCTTACCACATCGACATGTCAAACTGGGACAGTCTCCATTCCTAGCAGTCCACTAAATGAATGTCCCTTAACATTATACTGCTTCTTGGAACTTTGAGGACATTGTCTATCCACTACTGTAACTCAGAATGAATTCACTTAAGTTTGACTGATACATTTATAAACTATTCTCAGGTTATGGAGGCATCTACACTAATAAAAGAGAAACATGCAAATTGGTGTCACTCTGCTATGCCCACCAGCCAATCAGGATGAGTATGTAAATTAACCAAACAAAGATGGCGGTTAATTTGCATACACAGGCACGGAGCAAAGACTGAAGGCTCTGGCCAGAGTGAAGAGCGAAGACTGAAGACTGAAGAGGCTTGGCTTCTCCACTGTGGCCGCAGCAGAGAAGCCAAGCCTCACTGTGGCCAGAGGGGAGAAGCCAAGCCTCGCTGCGGCCAGAGGGAAAAATCCTAGCTTTGAGGCTTGGCTTCTCCGCTGCGGCCGGACCAAAGGCCTGGGTCCCGGGTGCCGGAGGAAAACCGGTGCTGGCAGCCAGGGGAAGGAAGGCCTATTGTGCGAATCTTCATGCAACGGGCTTCTAGTTAATTTATAAAACCCATTTTCTGATGTTAATAAATTAGTCGCTTTCTTCCAGCCCTGAGAACTGTTTGGTTTCAAGGAGTATTCTCCTCCAGAAAACAAGCCTGTTATTTAGTCTACTTATTGATTTAAAAAAAATTTTAAATACATTTTTATTGATTTCAGAGAGGGAGAAAGAGAGAAATATCAGTGATGAGAATCGTTGATTGGCTGCCTCTTGTACAGCTTCTATTGGGGATCAAGCCCGCAATCCGGGCATGTGCCCTGACCAGGAATCAAACCGTGACCTCCTAGTTCATAGGTCAGTGCTCATCCACTGAGCCACACTGGCCAGGCTATTGAATTTTTAACTTTTTTGTTTATTGAATTTAGAAAGAGAAAGAAAAACATAGATTTGTTGTTTCGTTTATTTGTGCATTCACTGCTTGATTCTTCTATGTGCTCTGACTGGGAATTGAACTCATAACATTGGCATACTGGGACGATGCTCTAACCATCTGGGCTGCCTAGCCAGGGCTAGTCCATTTCTTTTGGTCTTACAAGCCATACACAGCCAGGTTTTAACTGCAGATACCCTGTTTTGCAGAGTTACCTCCATTGCAGACCGGTTGAATGTTGACTTTGCCTTGATTCATAAAGAACGAAAGAAGGCCAATGAAGTGGACCGCATGGTGCTGGTAGGAGACGTGAAGGATCGGGTGGCCATTCTAGTGGATGACATGGCTGACACTTGTGGCACAATCTGCCATGCAGCTGACAAGTGAGTGCTGAGCGGTGGGGCCTGTGGTTAGAAGTAAAAAGCTGATTGCTCTCTGAATGACTTAAGCCTGCTGATTCTTTTTGGAACTGAATGGAGGGATGATAACTAGCTTTGGGAGTTTTTCATCACCCTAGGCTTGAATTTCAATATGTATAAATTGATGACTATTCCTTTTCCCCCCAGTTTTCCTTAGTTTTTTTCTCTTGTTATTGTGCTAAATTGTATGTAAAATAAACTTGCCATTTGTAACCATTTTAAGTATACTAGTATATAGCAAGTTAAGGTAGAAATCCACAGGCCGGAGTAGACATATTTATATTTTACTTAAAACAGAAACCCTGGTCTTATCTCTCTCTCTTTTTTTAGTCTTACCTTTTTAGTGTCCATTTTAGCTGTTACTACCTTTATTCAATACTAGAGGCCCGGTGCACTGGGGGGTGTGCCTCAGCCCAGCCTGCACCCTCTTCAGTCTGGAACCCCTTGAGGGATGTTGGGCTGCCCATTTAGGCCTCACTCTCACAATTCAGGACTGCTGGCTCCCAACTGCTCACCTGCCAGCCTTCCTGATTGCCCCTAATTGCTTCTGCCTGCCAGCCTGATCACCGCTAACCACTCCCCTGCCAGCCTGATCGATGCCTAACTGCTCCCCTGCCAGCCCAGTCACCCCTAACTGTCCTCCCCTGCTGGCCTGGTTGCCCCTATCTGCCTTCCCCTACTGGCCTGATCACCCACAACTGCCCTCCCCTGCAGGCCATCTTGTGGTGGCCATCTTGTGGCCACATGGTGTAGCCATCTTTGATCACATGGGGGCGGCCATCTTGTGTGTTGGAGTGATGGTCAATTTGCATATCTGGTTGTGACTAATTAGCATATCTGGTCGTGGCTAATTAGTATATCCCTCTCTTATTATATAGGATTAGTTCTCATCTCTTGCCTGTTCTAAATCGCCTTACCTCTGTTCTCTCTGCTACCAGTCACCAGTCTCTTACCTTCCCAGACAATCTTTCACAGTGCCTTCCCACTTGCTAATCTTCCTAAAACTAAGACTAGATTTCATCACTTCTCAGCTTTGAAAACTTAAGTGGCTCCCCATTATTTACAGTCCAAGTTACTATGGATAGCATTGTCTCTCAAACTTTTTTTTGATCTATGAGTGTGCTTTGCACATGGCCTGGTGTATAATGGGTGCTAAAAAATATTTGTGTGCTCAGTGAGTTCTGATTTGGATCCTGAAGTGTACATTCATAAACTTGCTTATGTCTCTTTGTATTAGTAAGGTAATGCTAATTGCTATAATAGATCAACTCCTGAAGTGTTGGTGGCTTAATAAGATAAAGTCGTTTTCTCATTCATGGTGTATTCCAATGTGAGTATTCCTCTTTCAGTCATGTGTCACTGCATCTTTAACATGTGCTTTTCAAGATTACCTTGAAAGACATTTTCATTTTGGCCACCCAGAAAGGGAAAAGAGCATGGGAGATCGATTACCCAATTATTATTATTATTATTTTTAGAGAGGGAGGAAGATATAGAGTGGGGAGAGAGAGAGAGAAACATTAATCAGTTGCCTCCCCATACACACCCTGACCAGGGACCGAACCCGAAACCTGGGCATGTGCCCTGACTGGGAAATCAAACCAGCGATCTTTTCCATGCAAGGAACAATGCTCAACCAACTGAGCCACACTCGCCAGGGCCCATGGAAGACTTTTATAAGCTCGGACAAAAAGTGGTGTACATTGTAGCTACCCACATTTTGATAGCCAGAGTTAAGTCACATGGTCATACCTAACTATGCAAGCAAGGCTGGAAAATGTAGTCTAGCTGTGTGTCCAGCAAGAAGAAGTGATGGCTTTTGTTGAGTGTAGCAATCTATCACAGTTCTTTTATAAGAATCCAGATCTTGAAGTAAGTTCTTAGTACGGTTCTCTCTCCTTTAAAAAGAAATTGATATTTAGAGAGAGGAAAGGAGGAAGGAAGGTAGAGAGAGAGAGAAAGAGAGAGACATCCACTTGTTGCCTCCCGCATGCGCCTAGATCAGGGATCGAACCGACAACCTAAGTATGTGCTCTGACCGGTAATTAAATCTGCTACCTTTTGGTCTATGGAGCGACACTCCAACCAGCTGAGCCACACTGGGCAGGGCCAGTTCTCTCTCCTTGATATTGACTGAATGGTAGCTCCCTAAAATCTGATGCATTGAAACCCTAACCCCCGGTGTGAGACCTTTGGGGAGGTATTTAGGTTTGAATGAAGTCATGAGGGTAGGGTCTTTATGATGGGATTATTGTCCTTATAACAAGAGAACAGAGAGCTTGCTCCCCCCTTCTCCCCGGTACATGTGGAGGTCAGCGATGTCAAAGAGGTCATGTGAACACAGCGAGATGGCAGCCACTAGTAATCTAAGAGAACAAGCCTCAGAAGGGGAAAAAAAAGGAGAGGCAGCCTCAGAATGAAACCTGTATGCTGGGGTCCAACCCCAGCAAGTCCAGGGGTTCCCAAAGGTGTGGACGGAGTCTTTGAAGAAGGAATGACATGGAGGCAGCCTTCGGGTGATCATCATGTTCTCTTGCTAGGTTCTCCAGCCAGGTTCTCCAGGTTCTCCAGCCAGGTTCAGTCGTCAGGTTCTAGTCAGGTTCTCTTGCCATGTTCTATCCAGGTTCTGTAGCCAAGTTCTGTCTCTAGGTTCTGTCCAAGATCTTTTGCCATGTTCTCTCGCTAGGTTCTGTCTCTAGGTTGTGTGGCCAGTTTCTGTCCAGGATCTTTTGCCATGTTCTCTTGCTAGGTTCTGTCTCTAGGTTCTGTCTCCAGTTTCTGTCCAGGATCTTTTGCCATGTTCTCTCCAGCGAAGTTCTTCTGTCTCTAGGTTCTGTGTAGGTTCTGTGTCTAGGTTCTGTGTCTAGGTTCTGTGTCTAGGTTCTGTGTCCTGTTGTCTTGTTACATCTGTATTTATACCAGTTGATTCCAATCCTATCAATCTCTAGTCCAAAGGTTAGGGCGTTTCTTATCTCCATTCCAGGGAGTAAAGATTATGTAGCTTAAGCATGATTGTTCGTAGTTAAAGTGATTAATTACCCACCTGGCACTTAGTTAAGGGGTTTTATTCCCTCCCTAACTTCAGGGGAAAATCCCTACCTGGGGAAACAACCTTTCTCAGAGAGGTGACCTTGGTTAAAACACATAGTGCCAAGAAGGTGAGCAAACATATTAAGAACAGTATGCCATATATGCCAGGTCCCTTGAAACAGCAAGGATGGACCGGCTCCAGGCACCTGTCTTGCTACCACCTTGATCTTAGACTTTGCAGCCCCCAGAACTGTGAGAAATAAAATTCTGTTTAAGCCACCCATCTGTGGTATGGCACCCAAGCTGACCAATAATATACACTTCTTCTTAATCAGGTTTTATAGCAGGAGTGGGAAACCTTTTTTTCTGCCAAGGGCCATTTGGATATATATATAACATCATTCACAGGCCATACAAAATTATCAACTTAAGAATTAGCCTGTTATATCTGGTCAAACATTTAATTAACTCACCCCTCATGCCTTGGCAGGGCCAGACCAAATGATTTCCAGGGCGTTATACGGCTTGCAGGCCAGACGTTCCCAACCCTGTTCTATAGTGACAGGTAAGATTAATCAAAATCAACTCTGCTTTTTTCCTGTAGACTTCTTTCAGCTGGAGCCACCAGAGTTTATGCTATCTTGACTCACGGAATCTTTTCTGGCCCCGCCATTTCTCGCATTAACAATGCATGCTTTGAAGCAGTAGTGGTCACCAATACCATACCTCAGGAGGATAAGATGAAGCATTGCTCCAAAATACAGGTGAGGATGAGATTCTTGAAAAACAAAACTCCACTAAGTATTCAGGAGGTGGTAATATGTGTTGAATTACCAGAAGAATTCCTCCTTTCCTCTTAAGGGCTTATTCTACCATCAGGATCTGTGTTCCTAAAGTAAAACATCACATGCTTTAAAACTCAGATTGCTCGACTCAGAATCTCTAGAAGATGGAGCCTAGAAGTCTACGTTTTAACAGGCTCTTCCAGTGATCATGATACTCAAGTTTGCAAGTGTATGTTTTATAGTATGTGTGTGTGTGTCACTCTTAACTATTGGCCCCTGCAGACATAATGTGAATCCTTCAAACTGATGTCATATTCCTTAGATCTCCAGTGTTTCTCAAAGTTGCTCTGGAACCAAACTAAGTTAATTACTTGGGGTTCTTAATATGCAGATTACTTTGCTCCATCCCAGACCTACAAAACCAGAAGTCCTGGGACCACTACTTTAACGTAATTCCCCAAGTAATTATTAGGCACTTGAGTATGAATGTTGTTGCACTAAGAGAAGGCCTTTGCTTAATTAAAAATATATACAGTAATCCATTAGCTTTCTGAGATATGTATAATTGGAGGGTTGATGTTATTCTTAAAAGGATTTTTTTTTTTCAGCTTAAATATTCATTCTTAAAAAAAAAAAATTTAAATGTCAGCCTACCACCATCTTGGTGAGTCTGAGTCAGAAATTTTCCTCTGTTAGCATTTTAACTCTATACTATGTGGTTATATTAAAAATGTTATCACCTGGCCAGAGGGGTTCAACTGGCTGAGCATCGTCCCATGCATGGAAAGGTTGTAGGTTCAATTCCTGTCCAGGACATATACCTGGGTGGCAGGTTCAATCCCCAGTTAGGGCACATATGGAAGGCAACCAATCAATGTTTCTTTCCCTCTCCCTCTCCCTCTCCCTGTCTCTCTCTCTGTCCCTCTCCCTCTCCCTCGCTCTCGCCCTTACTCATACCCTCGCCCTCCTTCCCTTCCTCTCTCTAAGCATGTCCTTAGGTGAGGATTTAAAAAAATGTTATGAATAGCTGGGTGCAGACTCATGAGGTGAAACAGCACAGTGAAGGACTCTCATTAGACTTCTCATCATTGTCTGCAAATTGGCCAGTCATCTCTGTTTATATGATACTAAGTTGGTGTTTTTCATGTCTTTCTAGGTGATCGACATCTCCATGATTCTTGCAGAAGCCATCAGGAGAACTCACAATGGGGAATCTGTTTCCTACCTGTTCAGCCATGTTCCTTTATAACAGAATAATTTCTGAGGCTTTTAAAAAAATAAAGTGAACCCCTTCCCTTGTTTTCCCTTGGTGTTCGATGGAAAATTCAGCAGAAGCCCCAGCTTGCTCCAATAGCTTTCTACATCCCATTCCAGGTATATTAACTTTTCTCCAAAATTAGGGAAAGACAGATTGAGACTACTCAGGTTTCCTACCTGCATTGTCTCGTTCTGGCTTCTTTGATTTTGTGGGCCTTGCAGCTTTAACTATAACTCAGCTTCCGCAAGATTTCAGACTTTGAAGGGTGTTGTGTGGGGGTGCTTGAATGTGTTTGGGGAAGCTCAGACTACTTTTCACGTGAATGCTTCTGAGATTCCTAGGTTCAGAACTACTAGCAACAGAGCCAACCCCAAAATAAACAAAATAAAAAGAACAAAGCCAAACTAGCTCCCAACCCCCCTTAACATGTGACAAGTTCTCTAAAGTCTATACTAAATTACAACAAGAGCCCTAGGCAGCCCAGAATCCAGCTCTGGTTGCTGATTCCCTGTAAGGCAGGCAGCTCTCAGGTAGGAGCCTGAGGGAAGGAAGGCAGCACACAGTGCAGCAGATGCTTCTTGGGAGGAAAAGAGCCTGATCCCTCAACCTCTGCTAGGAAACTGTCACTTAGTCTCTTTTGTACCTGTTCCTTTTCCATTTGGTTTGACCTTCAACCATCTTGACCTTTTCCTGGCTAAATACCTTCTTGGGCCCAAATGATCATTGTACCATAGTCTTCTGGAAAGCAAACTTCACTTTTTGCTGTGTATTCTTTAACATTTACATGAGATTATTTTGCTGTAGCTTAATCTTAGCCCACTATCACTGTGGTAGAAGGTTCTAGGTGGTTTTGTACTGCCTTTTGATTAATTTAAGTATTTAATTTTCATCTTATTTCATTGGATCTGTTTGGCCTCTCAAATGACCTGAGGTTTCTGTTAAAAGATTGATGTTACTAGCTTGTGTAGAGGAAACTAATAAAGTATCTGTGTGTGATTGTGGGTCTATATCATATCTGTACTACTCTCTCTGCTAAATGTTTAGTTTAGGTATCTTGCTGCCTAATGATAGTTCTTATTATTTGTTTCCAAACTATTAACTGCACTGTTAAGCCAAAAGAAGACATTGGCAGCAACTTTATTCAGCTGTAAGACCTTAAGATGTCTGGGGTTTACTTAGAACTATATATCTATAGTAATTATGCGCATTATACTGCAATTATAGGATGTTTAATGCCTGCTGGATCTCTAGTTCTTATTACTGGGAATTAGGTATTTTCTTACTAAAAGAGAATAGCTTCTATAATTTATTCATTTTGAACCAATTTTGCCAAATGTGAAATTTCTCTACATCAATAGTTGAGACACACATTTGGCATTTGATTTCAGCCCTTCCAAATAAAAACTATTGTAGAAGGTAAATGTGCAAAAGTTAAGAATGAATTATAATGCATGGCAAAATTTTAAGTGAGTTTCTTTGTATATCATCAAATAAGGGCATCCTTTTATTTTGGGAAGCTACATTCTTCTGGAGCTTTATAAACAGTGCTCCTTTATCCTGGTTCTGGTTCTGTTTCCTTTGTATTTGTTTTATGTTGAATATTGGGATACTCATTTTACAATGAGTCTTGAAAAAAAGTGGTGTGGAGAACCAAGATGGCGGCATAGGTAAACAACTATACTTGCTGCCTCTCACAACCACATCAAAATTACAACTAAAAAGCAGAACAACAACCACCCAGACCTGCAGGAAAGCTGGCTGAGTGGAAGTTCCACAACTAGAGAGGTGAAGAAAGTGCATTGAACTGATAAGAGGTGCGGAGGCGCGGAAAGTGCTGGCACCTGGATGTACTGTTCTTTTAATCGGGAGGGAGATACAAGCTTCTGCTTACTCTGAACTCCAGTTCCGGGCGAGACTCTGTGGGACCCAGACATACACGGGGAGAAACTGGACTGTCTGGCATCAGGACAGGAACGCAAGGGCAGCTTTCTCTCAGAGGTGCTCACAGTGATCATTGTTCCTGCGCAGGGGCGCAGGACACAGAGACCCGGGGTCCTTTCCAGTGTAGGGCTGACTGGCAGCCATTGCTGTTTGCTCCGCCCTGGTGATTCCCAGAGACCCCACCCCACCCAATTTACAACCCCACCCAAGCTGTGCTCATTGGCTTTTGCATATGAATGGCCTATCCTTTAACCGCCTAAAATCTGTGAAACTGCAGCTTGGTCAGAGAGCCCCAGAGCTTCCAAAAGAAGGCCCAAGGTCCAGCAGCAGCAGCCTGCCTTGCTTCACAGATGGACCTCGCCTGGGCACTTCCAAACCCCATACAAAGAGGAGGAATCTGCAGATGTCTCTGTAGCTCCTGCTGAGTAGCCCCAGACAGTGGCTGACCTTGCACCTCCTTGGAGATCCAAGAGCCAGTGTACCCAGTGGCCAGAGTGAGACCATACTGGATTACAACTCTTCATATCCATAAGAGACACACTCAGGGGGGAGACTCAGTGAGCACCAAAGCCCCACTGAAACAAATCCTGCCCCATAAGGGTGTCTCCTGTGCAACAGATCTTCCAGTGTAGACACAGCTGGTCATCACAGCCAACTGTCCTGGAGGTCAATTCCTCCCAGTGATACCAATAGCAATCAAGGATTAACTACAACAAGACTGTGCAAACAGCCCACAAAGGGGTGCACTGAGAGTGTCCACCTCAGGTGACTGGGGAGGCTAAGCCACTGGGCCCTATAGGACACCTACCACACAAGGCCACTCTATCAACTCAAGGAGACTTAGCAGCTACCCAATACATAGAAACAAACACAGGGAAGCAGCCAAAATGCAGAGACAAAGAAACATGTCACAAACGAAAGAAATGGATGAAAGCAAAATACTGGATATAGAGTTCAAAACCACAGTTATAAGGTTACTCAAGAATCTTCTAGACACCTCCGAGAAATTTAGTGAGACCCTCCAGGATATGAAAAAGGGACAATCAGCCCTGACCGGTTTGGATAGAGCATCGGTCTGTGGACTGAAGGGTCCCAGGTTCAATTCCGGTCAAGGGCATGTACCTGGGTTGTGGGCACATCCCCAGTAGGGGGCATGCAGGAGGCAGCTGATCAATGTTTCTCATCAATGTTTCTAGCTCTCTATCCCTCTCCCTTCCTCTCTGTAAAAAAAAAAAATAATACATATATTATATATATATATAATATATATATAAAGTAACAATCAGAAATTAAGCATACACTGACTGAAATAAAGAATAACATATAACATACAGGCTGATTCTCACAGCCAGCTGGCCTGGAGGTCAAATCCCCCTAGTATTAACTACAACAATCAAGGCTTAACTACAGGAGGACTGCACACAAAGACCACTAGGGGGTGCACCAAGAAAGCATAAAAAAATGCGGAGACAAAGAAACAGGACAAAACTGTCAATGGAGGATATTCAGTTCAGAACCACACTTTTAAGGTCTCTCAAGAACTGTCTAGAAGCCGCTGATAAACTTAATGAGATCCTCAACAAATCTAATGAGACCCTCGATGTTATGATAAAGAACCAACTAGAAATTAAACATACACGGACTGAAATAACGAATATTATACAGACTCCCAACAGCAGACTAGAGGACCGCAAGAATAAAGGCAAAGATTTGAAATGCAAAGAAGCTAAAAACACCCAACCGGAAAAGCAAAATGAAAAAAGAATCCGAAAATACGAAGATAGTGTAAGGAGCCTCTGGGACAGCTTCAAGCGTACCAACATCAGAATTATAGGGGTGCCAGAAGATGAGAGAGAGCAAGATATTGAAAACCTATTTGAAGAAATAATGACAGAAAACTTCCCCTACCTGGTGAAAGAAATAGACTTACAAGTCCAGGAAGCACGGAGAACCCCAAACAAAAGGAATCCAAAGAGGACCACACCAAGACACATCATAATTAAAATGCCAAGAGCAAAAGACAAAGAGAGACTCTTAAGAGCAGCAAGAGAAAGAAACTCAGTTACCTACAAGGGAGTACCCATACGACTGTCAGCTGATTTCTCGACAGAAACTATGCAGGCCAGAAGGGAGTGGCAAGAAATATTCAAAGTGATGAATAGCAAGAACCCATAACCAAGATTACTTTATCCAGCAAAGCTATCATTCAGAATTGAAGGTCAGATAAAGAGCTTCACAGATAAGGAAAAGCTAAAGGAGTTCATCACCACCAAACCAGGATTATATGAAATGCTGAAAGGTATCCTTTAAGAAGAGGAAGAAGAAGAAAAAGGTAAAGATACAAATTATGAACAACAAACATGCATCTATCAACAAGTGAATCTAAGAATCAAGTGAATAAATAATCTGGTGATCATAATAGAATCAGGGACATAGAAAGGGAATGGACTGACTATTCTTGGGGGGGAAAGGGGTGTGGGAGATGCAGGAAGAGACTGTACAAAAATCGTGCACCTGTGGATGAGGACAGTGGGTGGGGAATGAGGGCGGATGGTGGGGCGGGAACTGGGAGGAGGGGAGTTATGGGGGGAAAAAAGAGGAACAAATGTAATAATCTGAACAATAAAGATTTAATTAAGAAAAAAAAAAAGAATAACATACTGAGATCCAACAGCAGACGAGAGGATCCCAAGAATCAAGTCAAAGATTTGAAATACAAAGAAGCAAAAAACACCCAACCAGAAAAAAGAAAAGAAAAAAGAATCCAAAAATATGAAGATAGTATAAGGAGCCTCTGGGACAACTTCAAGTGTACCAACATCCGAATTATGTGGGTGCCAGAAGAAGAGAGAGCAAGATATTGAAAACCTATTTGAAGGAATAATGTCAGAAAACTTCCACAACCCGGTGAAAGAAATAGACTTACAAGTCCAGGAAGTGCAAAGGACCACAAACAAGAGGAATCCAAAGAGGACCACACCAAGACAAATCATAATTAAAATGCCAAGGACAAAAGACAAAGAATTTTAAAAGCAGCAAGAGAAAAACAGTTACCTACAAAGGAGTACCCATACGACTGTCAGCTGATTTCTCAACGGAAACTGCAGGCCAGAAGGGAGTGGCAAGAAATATACAAAGTGATGAATAGCAAAAACCTACAACCAAGATTACCCAGCAAAGCTATAATTTAGAATTGAAAGTCAGATAAAGAGCTTCACAGACAAGAAAAAGCTAAAGGAGTTCATCACCACCAAATCAGTATTATATGAAATGCTGAAGGGTATTCTCTAAGAAGAGGAAGAAGAAGAAAATGGTAAAGATAAAAAATTATGAACAGCAAAGTGACAACAAATACATATCTATCAACAAGTGAACCTAAAAATAAAATGAATAAAAAAACCTGATGAACAGTATAGACTGGTGAATGTAATAGAATCAGGAGCATGGAAAGGGAGCAGACTGACAATTCTCAGGGGAAAGGGGTTGTGGGGGGTGCAGGAAGAGATTGGACAAAGATCTTACACCTATGGATGAGGTCAGTGGGGCGGGGGGAGGCCTGAAGTGGGGTGAGATCTGGATGGAGGGGAGCTATGGGGGGAAAAAGAGGAACATCTGTAATCTGAACAATAAAGATTTAAAAAGAAAAAAAAAAGAATAAAGTGGTTCGGAAGGGACCAGGGTGACCTATGACCCTCTAGCCCCCTTTTACCCAAAAATCTTTGCTCTGGGAGGAACTGGTGTGGCACACTGATGCCATAACTTGCTGATTAATTCCTGAAGGTTTGGATTCGTTTATTGGAGTTTGACCATGTCAGAAAATTTTGTCATAAAACGTCTACTGTGGGCCTCTTGGGTAATCCAGTTCCTTAGATGAGGTTTTGAGGTCATTCAAGAAAGTTCCTCCGTCACCATCTTTGATCCTTATGCCCTGGGGAGGGTCAATATTCAATTTCCTGTGACATTCAGCAAAGTGCCATAAGCACCTCCAAGGCCATTCCTTTTTTTTTCTCCAGTGGGAGAGATCCAAGTGTCCTGGATGGAAAGTGATTCTTCACTGGGGAACAGTAACAG